TCCTGTCCAAGGTGGGGAGGGCTGGGTAAAGGTCAGGGGTCAGTCTCGCTGCATTGAGTGCACTGCTGTGGGGAGGGGAAACGGTGTGTTCCATTCGTGGGGGGGTGGGGGGGGTCCTCTTGCCCACTGTCCCTGAAAGCTGTGGGAAACCTGTGGATGGGAGGGGCGTTGGATGACTCCAGTGATTACTTTGGCAAATGCCCAGTTCTTCAGAGGAAGGAGTGGGTGGAGGCAAATTTGGCTTGTGAGAGGAAGAACAAACGAAGTCCTGCTTGAGGTCTGGGTTCCCAGGGACCCATTCATCTGGCCGGCCAGGAGCCCCTACCCCCCAGAGAAACCTTGGGATACTGAATTGCAGAAATGTCACATATTCATTCACAGACCACCGCCTGTCCCAGGGATAGAGAAGAAGAGACACACATCCACACATGGTAATCTAAAGCCAGGTTTGCCCCTACAAGGCAGAGGGCAAAACTGGTGAATATTGCACCGTGAACTGCAAGGGCCCTCACCCCAACCCCGTGTTTAATGGTGGCCAAGTCCAGCCTAGACAGGTGGGCAGACTGATGGCAGGAGTAGCCTAAGAAGAGAAGGCCAATCATTCAATGTTTATTGAGCACCTATCATTCAACCATTCACCCGTTCAGCATTTATTGAGTGCCAACTCTGTGCTAGGCACTGGGCAAGGCTCTGGGATGCATGCATGCACAAGACTGCACCCTGGCTCCTTTTGAGGCCCTGATCAAGTCTCATCGATTCTTGAAACTCCCTCTAGGAACGTTCAGGAAGACTGGACATGCTGTGTGCCCAATCAGCAGGGGGTTAAGCTGTGAGCAAAGAAGGATCACTGCCCAGGCGAGGACCAAGCTTCAGGGAGGAAGAGGAACTTGAGTTCACCCTGACAGCAGGACTGGGGTGGGGGAAGAGCGTACTCCAGGAAAGGGAACCTTGTGAGAAGGTGTGAGGACCGACTGGACAATTGTGTGTGGAGCTTTGGGACAGGCAGGGCTGTAGGGAGAAGCAAAGAGGCCAAGAGCCAGATCCCCGCTAACTGCAGTATCAACAAATCCGAGCTGAGGGTGAGGACAGGCAAAGGAGCAGGGGAGAAGGGAGCAGGGCTCAGGAAGGAGGGCTATGGAGCTGGAAGCCAGGGCTGTGTGGCTGCAACAGCCACCTGTCCCTCTGTAAACACACACCCAGTTGCATGCACGTGCACGCACGCACGTGCACACACACACACATGCCCTCAGAGCTGAATTCACACAAAGATTCACGTATACGCCCAAATGGGCTCAGAGACACACAAAGATACACCTATGCAACCTCTCACACACATAAATACAAAAGTACACTCAGACACACCAATACCAGATGCCCTCGTGAACACACTCAGGTACATGTGCGGTCACACACACCCCTCTGCTTCTGGTTCCTTCCCTGCTTCAAGTGTCGAAATACTGCAATTGGCTGGGTCAAGGAGGCGGGCAAAGACAGTCACCTACCACAAAACCAGGCCTTGTCTAACTCTACTTTCCCACCAGGAGGAAACCTCAAGGGAGCGCTGCACCCCTTGGGCAGAGGAGCTGGGCTTCTGTGAAGGAGTGGGGCAGACCCCAGTCTGCCTGCCCATGTCACCCCAGGCCCCTTAGGGCGGGGGGTTGGTAGTAGATCATGGGCTGGGGGCCTTCCCCCTCCAGTTTGATCTGTGATCCAGCCCAAGGTCTCAGGACCCCATGCTTCGGCCACCCCTACTGGGGAGGCAGCAGAGAGGGGTGGACTCGTGGAGGGGAGGGGAGCAAGAACAACAGCAGAAGAATCTCGTCTGTACAGTACAGGCCGTTTGAGTCATTATTATTACAATATACTTTGACAAAAATAGAATCTCATTTCATATCAATACAACAACAACAAAAAAACAGTTTCCTGGACTGTTACACTGCTAACGTTTTCCAAAGGTTGCTATTTACAATTACAGTAGCCAAGAGGGAAGGTGGGATGCGGCCTGGGGGTGGTGGGACAGGAGGTAGCGAGACAATGAGGGCGCCAAGAGCAGAGAGGTGGGGTCAGGAGCGGAAGGAGCTGGGAGGAGGGCTGGGGAGAGGGGCCAAGGAGGAGAGAAGGGAGGCAGGCCTTCTGCAAACCTCCTCCATCCCCTCTCCCACCCTCACACACCATCCCAGCGTCCACTCCTCTGGGGATGTGCACGTGCAAGGAAGAGCAAGTCCCCTCACTCACACTTGCCCCTGGATGCAGGGGTTCCCATCCTCAGGCACCCAGGGTGCCCAAGGCCGTCTGGGGCTGAGCCACCTCACTGGAGTTCCTCTCCCAGGTTCTCCCTGCACTTTGTGGCCAGCTTTACACGGCTGGTGTCAACTGAGGGAAGGGGAGATATTGCACTGTATATCTTAGAGAAAATGCTGGGGGAGGGAGGGGTCCCAGTTCACCCCTTTCCCCAGTCCTTTGCCCCTGCTCAGCCCTCTCCTCATGGCTGTCTTTCTCTCCAAATGTGCTTCAGAGAGGCCCCCACCTCAAACCCCTACCCCCAGTCTCAGACTCCCAGCCAGCCTTCCCAGCCCAAAAGCTCAGCCAGCACCCCGACACCTTGGGGTGCAGCTTACATGAGAATCACTGAGAGTGTGTTGTGTGTATGCAGGGGCATTTGGGGGCCAGGCTTGGGTATTCTGCCCCATGTGCCTGTGGCCACAGGAACAGCCCAGAAGCAGAGACCCTTTCCAGAACCTCTGCCTCACTTTCCCCCTGAAACACAAACCCACCCGCCAAGCCGACTTTGGGGTTTCAGTCTATTGTAAGGGGTTTTTGTTGTTTGGTAGTTTTTTTGGTTATTTCTCTCTATCAGGGGGATGGGGTGGGAGGGCTCCGCATGCAGGGCTCGGCACCTGTCCTTTCCCAAAGGCCCATTGGGCCCCCCACCCCCTCCTGCAGCATATGTGTACAACGTGCAAAGTGTCCCTCCCTTCCCGCAAAAAACAGCCCCCCAGCCAGTGACAATGGCAGGGGGTGCAGAAAGAGGAGAGGGGAGTATCCCCCTCTCCAAAGCGAGAATCCAAATTAAAAAAAATATAATAATAATAATATAATAATAATAATTATACACAAATGTAACCGTCAACAGGACACGGAGCACAAGAAAGGAAGTGGGGGTCGAGCGGGAGGAGCCCAGGACAGGGAGGGGTGGGCGGTGAGATTGTCAACTCTTCATCAGGGAGGCTGAGAGGAGGGGAGTGGGAATCGTCACTTTAATGTCTGTGAAGAGAGGAGATGGAGAAGGGGATGTGAGGGGGTGGCCCAGGCTATTGGGTGTGTGCCCCCCACTCCCCTCTCCCGTAGGGCCAGGATTCTAGTGGCAGGGCCAGCCCTGAGGGAGGAGGTCATCGAGCAGAAGGACTGATGCTGGAGGGAAGGTAGGAGATGGGCCTTTGGCAGGGTAAAGGGTGTCGGTGCTGCCTCAAAAGTGCTGATGGAAGGGCTAGCTGGCCACAAGGCCTCTTAGGTGGGAGATAAGACAGGCTGGGGGCATTCGGGGCAGTCCCTGGGTGCAGCAGACAACGGCAGACAGGAGGGGTGATGCTACAGTACCCAGGTATCGAGCCGCATCCTCTTCACAGCTGAGCCCTCAGCCTCAGGCTCTGGGGCTGGGCGCAGCAGGCCCAGTGTGGGCCCGAAGTCCCCCCGTCCATCATCCCGGTCCCCCGTCTCATAGGAGCCCCCAGCCGGGCTGCTGAGACCATCGCCAGGCTCAGGGCGGGTGGCTGGGAACACAGCTGGAGGGGGAGGCGCAGGGCTGCGCTCACGGCTTGGGGACACTGGTTCCGACTTGATGCTGATGTGGGGGTGGGTGGTGACCGTGAGAGCAGCACCCACATGCGGCAGGGGGCTGCCCGGGCTGGAGACAGAAGATGGGGATGGAGTGGGGTACAGGGGACAGAAACAGAGGAGGTGAGTGACAAAAAGTGATGGGAGGTCACAAGACAGAGAATGAGAGAGGACAGAGAATGAGAAGGAGGAGGATGGGGTGAGGGGGGAGGGGAGAGACAAGTGGATGAAGACAGAGAGATCAGAAGAGAGAGGGCCAAGTGAAGGGAAGAGAGGAGAAATAAGTCGTATTAGTTCTCTTTCTATCCCATGTCATCTTCTGCAGTCCGGGGCCCCCCACCCCGACCCCCACCCAGGGCTGGCTGAGAGGGGCTCAGGGTGGGTCTCCCAGGTCTGTACAGGGGACTCCAGAGCTGCCACTTGGTGCCTCACATACTATCCACCAATGACAGACAACTTCGAAGGGATCCGATCTCTAGAGGCCCCTCCCCTTCCCACTTACTCACACGGTATCCCCCAAGAACTCACATTAGGTTGCTGAGAGACACGGGGACCAGGTGGGGCTGCTGCTGAGGTGGCTGCTGCGGCTGCTGGGGCGGCTGGGGCTGCGGCTGCGGCTGGGGCTGCGGAGGCTGCGGCTGTGGTGGCTGCTGGGGCTGTTGCGGCTGTTGCCAGGCGGTGACATTGCCTAGCGACAGCCCCCCGGGCGAACTGAAGGCTGGTAAGGAGGAGAGCTCTGCACTGGTCAACTGGTAATCTGCAGGGGGTGGGGGGAAAGCGAGGGTGAGCCTCCTGCAGTGGGAGGGAGGGGACTGAGGCTCCTGTGGGGAGCCACCTCCAGGAGGGCCAGAGAGATGGGGGGGCGCAGCTGACAGATGTGAATAATTAAACACATACAAATTCAGCTAAGATGGCACTCATAGTTAAAGAAAAGCAAACCGTAATAACCATGAGGTGCTGTTTTTAACAGGATGAAAACAGAGGTGGTTTTTTAAAATAAATAAATTAATTTTATTTAAAGTAATATAAATAATAAAATAAAATAATTTTTTTTTCACCATGTGTAGGTATCACTTTTAGAATGTTGATTTAAAAAAAAAAGAAAGGGAAAATGGTAAGTAGGGAAGGTCTGATATATGTCTAACTGTCATCTTGTCAACTACCAGGCCTTCAAGTACCTTTCTGAGACAGAGGGGAATCCTGGTAAATGGCAGGGGAATGGGGCACCCGAAGCAAATTACTGTGACTACCACTCCACCTTCTGCCAAGTGCCCGAGTCTCCTGAAGCCTGTCAGCACGTAAACTAAGCAGCAGCAGGGGTTCGAGAAGTGTCTGCAAGAACAGAGGCGCAGCGAGGGGAACGAGCCTGCAGCACAGCTGGCCAAGGTGCTGGCAAGTTTCCCCATGAGGTGGCGCTCATTATTTTCTAAAATTTCTGTCTTAATGAAGAAACTGTGATGTTTGCACTGTCACAGAACAAACAGAACCATGAGACGTTTCACAATTTACACAGCACTGTTATGTTTCATGTTGCATCCTGTTTGGGAGAGATTAGAAAATGTCTTCCCTGAGGAACACAGGGCAGGGGACCGGGCTGCGGTGCTGAGGGCATGAGCAGGCCTCCAGTCACCCCAACCCGCTCCCACCACGCTCTGACTCAAGGGTCATCCGCCCCACCTCTGTCTTTATGCAAGGAGGACAGCAATGTCTGTGCAACAGAACAATCAGGTGAAGGGCACGAGCGATGAGGTCAAACTTCCTGGCTACCCCACTTACAGGTCATGTGACCGTGGGCGAGCTGCTTACTCTGTGTCTATAAACTGGGGGCAATAATCCTGCCTGCATCCCACAGCTGTTGTGAGGACTGAGTGAGTTAATACACATGAAGCATGTAGAACAGTGTCTGGCACACAGTTAATATCCAAAAGATCTGGTCTCCTAACAACGTTAGCCAGGAGTTTTGAGATGCTTCTATTTAAAAGCGGAGCAAGGGCAGAAAGGGGCCCCTAGGACCAGCTATTTCCAACCCTCATTTTACAAACAAGGAAGCCAAGCCCAGAACAGCGGTGCCTTGCCGACATCCCTCAGCGAGCCAATGGTAGAGACTCAGCTCTCAGGCCCGCACTTCGCACCGCACTCCAGCCCTATCTACCTGGAGGCCTGCCCCACTGGGGCCAGCAGAAACATGGCCCACACGCCACCTGGCAGCCCATTCGGTCTGCCCCTAGAGTGACCACAGCCAGAACTCTGCTGCCAGTGTCAAGAAGGAGCCAGGGCTGTCCCTTACCCAAGACATTACCATAGCCAGGTCACCCCGAGCAGGAACTTGAACTGGGGCCAAGGACTGTAAACAGTGAACAACTTAACACTCACGTGTTCAATGGGGTTTTGTTTATATACCTAGGGTCACCCGAAAACACCTGCTGTTTAAACCGAGGGCTGCTTAACTACTCCTGCAGCAAGAGGAACTGAAGCCCCCATTTCTGAGACGACGTGAGAAAGCCCGCACACTTCCCAGTGGGGCTCCCAGGGCAGGCCCAGCATCAGAATCTGCTTTCAGACCACAGTGACAGTCTAAAGTCTAGCCTCGCTGAACACCTGTCCCAGGTTCACTGACCCCTCTATCCTCCCTCCTGCTTCACAAAGATGGGGGGGACCTGAGAAGACGGCAGAAGACCACTGCCATGGAATTCCTAAATAAACAAGAGCTCCCCAAAAGTGGTCTGTGCTGCTCTCTGCCAACCACCCTTGTCTGCTCTCTCGAGACAGCTTTTCTAGGTGGGCCCCAGGGCCCCAGCTGGCAGGGCTGGGAGAGCCTCAGAGACCTCCTGTCCACCCTGCCCCTTACACCTGAGGAGAGTGGCCATGTGAAGAGGTTCTCTCTGAGGATAAGATAGCCTGGGAGTGGGTGCACGCATGGGAGCATGTACAAGGGACAAGGGGCTATACAGACACTTGGGTGGCAAAATCTAGACACAGACACACATGCCAGAGTCTGGCCCCTCAACATGAGGCGTTTCCTCCAGTTCTCTTCCCAGCCCCAAGGGACCTTCCTATGTACAGGGCTGGGTTCTGGATTTTTACTCACGGTGAAGAGGTGGGATTTTTGTGGCTATTTGTACTGGTGTCTGGGACCTAGCATGGTTCAACTCTGGAATGGGGGCTTGGGGAGGGGGGAGAAGTTTAGGAGTTTTTTGGTCTAGCCAGGTCTCATCACAAAACAACCCTAACGCAAGCCATTCGTAGGTCAGAGAATGTGGGAAAAGGCAGAGGCTCTTCAGTGGGAAAGAGACCAGCTTCCCCAGCCACATAAATGCTCTCAAACAAGGTGACAAGGTGTCTCCCCACTGCAAAGTCCACTCTGACACTGCTGCTTGGAGTGGAGGCAAGGATGGCTGAGAGTGTCACAGACTGTTCCTGGGAGGGTGTGGGTGGTGACACAGGCTAGGACAACCCTGGGGACCCAGGACAGCCCAGGTACTGGGTGTCCTGTCTGAGTTCTTCTACGTAAAGACCTCTCCCTTGTCCCCAAGTGACTCTTCACCTTCAGAGCCCTCTCCCCAGCCTCACCAGTCTTCCTCCTCCCTTCCTCCCTCATTACCCTACCACCAAGCCAGCATCGGGGTGAGAGGCCCCTACCTCCTCCCCCCTGCTCTGGAGCCCCCACGTGGCTTTCCTAGGAAGCTGCATACATCTTCCTGATCATGCCTCCTCTCTGGCCTCCTCAGCCTCCCGTCTCTTCTCTTCCTCATTCCTTCATTCTCCTCCTCCAGGACGCCTTGCTGAACTGACCATGTCCCCCTCCCCACTCCCCAACGCTGGTGGGCCTGAATCATCTATGCAGCCCATCTCTGGCTTGGCTCCTCCTCAGATGGGAGAGGACCCTAAGGACACAGCCTCCTTTCTCCATTAAGTCCTGTATTAAAAATAACAGATTCCTGGTTAAATTTGAATTTCAAACAAAACAAGGATTGATTTTTTTAGCCTAAGTATATCTTTGGGACATACTTTAGCAGAACTATGTCTTTGAGACATACTTCTACTAAAAAATTAGTCACTGTTTTATCTGAAATTCAAATTTAAGTGGGCAGTCCATGTTTCTGTTCGCTAAATCTGGCAACCTTAATCAGGAGGGGGCTCCCCAAATCCGCGGCCTTCCTCAGACTGCAGCATCCCCCAGAGAATATCTCATGTTCCCTCTCTGGTCCCAGCCCTGCCCCAAGGCCAAGCGCACACAGCTACTTATCACACGAACACTCACCTGTGTTGTAGGCGGTGGGCATGGAAGAAAAGGGGAGGCCCTGGCTGAGTAAACTTGGTGTTGCCACGGAAACCACTGGGGTGGTGAGCGAGTGGGTAGACTGGGAGACCCCAAGGCGCTGGGCGTTGTTCTGCAGGAGAAAACTGTCTGTCAAGAGGTGGAAGATGGGTGGGCTGCTTTATCCTGGCCCTCCATTCCAAGGCCAGGCTGGAGTGCCTGAATCCCAAGGCTCAGGTGGGATGCCTCAGCATGGAGGCCCCCCATAAACACCCAAACACACGCTGGCGCATTCACAGAGACACTGAGAGCCATGGAGAGAAACATGCACACACAGATCCATTCGCACCTACACCCAAGCAAAGAGGAAGGCATGTATGCTGGCCCTGTGGCCCCAACACCAACCCTGGGCCTGTCTCCTAGGGCAGAGTGAGAGAAGGGAGACACATCATTCTTCTCCCGGCTAGTCCCTCTGGAGCCTACTCCCCATCCATCACACTGCAGCACACGCCCTGGTAGAAGTGTGCTGGCATCTGTGAGGGGAATGCGGGGCCTGGCGTGGCGTGTGCCTGCGTGTATGCACACACGTGTGTGGGGCTGTCAGCTCCATCTGCCGCTGAGTCACTTGTTTATTCTAGCTCCACGCTGGGGCCGAAACTGCCGCCGTGTTGGCCGCCAAAGCCTGCCTGCCTTTTCCAGCCTCTCTGGCCTCCCGTCAGGGAGTTGGGGAGGAGGAGCCCCCACCCCACTCTTGGCTGAGGGTGAGTATGCAAGTGTGTGTGTGAGAGAGAAGAGTGGCTGTGTCTGTCTCTGATTGCCTGTGAGATGGGCTGTGTGCAGGAGGGAGCACAAGGAGATGGGGGGAGGTGGGGAAGCCCCCCCACCAAGGACAACTCTGGCCTTTCCTTGGGCCTCAGCTTCCCCTAGAAAACTGATTTTACTGTCCACCTGGCAGCCCTCCTAAGGAGGTCCCTGTCTTGGGTTCCAAGAATGCTCGGTAGGCCGGAATGGAGTCAGAGGGCAAGTGTGGTCCAGCCCCTGGTCCAAGAGCCTTAACCCAGGTATCTTGGGACCCATGGAGATGGGACCTCTGAAACGTGGGGCTGGCCCACTCCCCTTGCACACACACATAAACACACACAACGGTGTGTCTGCATGAATGTAACATCACATAAAGACATCCATGTACAAACAGATACACACACATGCATGTCTAATCCCTCATCCCACCCCATTCACCTGTGTGTGCCACCTGGCACTGAGCGCAGCTCTTGGCAAATAACCAAACAAACAACACACACTACACACACAGGCGAAAGGACTAGGGCACACACATACTCCATGCTGGGCGACCGGAGAGCAATGGGTTGACCCAGAATTCAAAGCCACAGCAAACATCTCATAGCCTCACTTACCAGATCTAAATGGTCCTCAGTCTGGGAGCAGAAACAAAACCAAGGGGATGGTTCAGTCTCTAGCCTCTGCCCTCCCCTCAAACCCCTGCCCTCACAGCCATCCCATCTACCTCTTTGCAGAGGAGCAGGATGGCTCTCACCAGCCTAGGACAGAGCTCTTCACTGTCTTGACTGATTTCCAGAAAATGCCACATCCCAATGTCCATCGGTTAGGAAATCCTCACAGTCTAATTCCCATCCCTCTGCTGTAATGGCAAATCCTTCCTATCATCCTCCCCATCACAGAACCTTCTCTCCCACCTCCTGTCCCTTTTACTGCCCTTGAAGCTGGTGCTTCTGTGTTCCAACCTCTTGTATGGCCCTCTGAGAAGCAAGAGCTCATGAAAAGCCATGCTTCCATGCTCTCTTAGGAAGTCCTAACTGCTGGTTAACCTTCATCCCTCCTGCTGGAGCCGGCTCTCTCCTCCCTCGCCACCCTCCCATGCCCCACCGCTGCCCCTTCTCCCAACATCCACTCACCAAGTGATGCATCAACCCCTTCCCTCCCTGGGAAGTGATGACCCTCAGGTCAGGCTTGCGGCTTGGGGCTCCAAGCTGGGCGCTGTGGGTGGGTGGGGGCGGAGACTTGGCAGGGATGACCTTGTTTAGGCTGTTGCCATTAGCCACAGGGAGGAGGCCAGGGGAAGCCCGAGCACTAACGTAGCCATTCCCTGGAGAAGAGATGAGGGTAGAAGGGAAAACATGGACCCACCCCTCAGCCCTGTTAACTGCCCCCAAGCCAGGACTTCTATCACCAAGAACCTCACAAAGCCATGCGCAGGCTTTGAGTGGGTGCTGAGCTCTCTGATTCTCCCCTAAAACCGTCCTGTCTTGGAGAAAGGGGAGAAGATGCCTTACTCCCAAATCACTGGGTTTATCCCCCTGCCTCCAAACTACACGTGATGAGGCTGGGTGGCAGAGCTCTGAGATTGTAGGAAGAACTGGAAATGGAAACCGCAATGGCCAAGAGGCTCTTCCGCAGCCAAGCCTCTCCCTGCCTTTTCTCTTCTTTGGTCTCCACGGACAGGAAATCCGGCACCTTCTGATCCCACAAGCTGCCCCAAACTGGGCCCACAGTGACCTAGGTTGGAGGAGGGATGGTGGCCTGGAATTTAGACTTCGATGAGAATCCTGGTCACCAGGGCAAATCAACCACTGACTACTCCCTTCGCCATGAGCTGGGGATGCTGTGATGCAGACGAGCACATGACGAGACACCCACAGCTCTGGGGCAGAGGAGCCATGCGCTGGTGGTGGTGTCGTTACCGGCACTGGGGGACTGATTAACATAGCCACCACCATAATTAGACTGGAAATAACAAGCATAATGACTATCTTTTACATTTGTTCCACACTCCACAATCTACACAGGGCTTTCACACACATATTATCTTATTTATCCTGCAAAACGGACAGGACGTGTATCATTAGCCCTATTACAGAAGAGAAAACTTGAGGCCTGGTTGGCAGAGATGTAATGACTTGTCCAGGGCCACAAAGCCTTCCACGTGCTGGACTTCAGGGCCCACAAGTATCATTGTTCCCTTAAGATCTGAAGGCACTTCTCTGGCCCTCTCCTTCCAGAGGGAGGGGTATTCACCCATTCCCCCATTTCCTGACCCCAGTACACAACTACTGCCAAAGGGGTATTATATGGTGTGTAGGGCTAAGCTGGGGGATTCTAAAGCCCAGAGATGTGGGGGTGACCACAGTCAGAAGTGTCACCTTGCTCTGTCCCCTGAGAGTACACTGTTGCCCTGGAAGTGTGTGGCACCTCCATCCCAATTCCCGGATCACTCTGGGAATGGCAGGAATGTCAGGGTGACGTCAATGGTGACATTCGAAGTCATAGTCACCAGCCGGACAACGGCACAGGGCAGGAGGGGGCTGTCAGCTGTGGGGGTGGGGGGATGCAGGGAAAGCAGCCTTTCTTCTGTGGCTTATAGATGTGTGCTCACAAGTTCACATCTAATGTCTGGATATTTCCACAAGAGTGAGGATGTCTGCCTGTGTGTGAGTCTGTGCCTACTGTCTGTCAGCAATGCCAGATACTCACACCCTCCAGATCCCACCCAGACGCCCTCATTCAACTGGAAAAACCTGGGTCTTCTCCTCCAACTAGAATTGTTGGTCCCTTCTCACCACTTGCCCAGAATTCCCTGAGCCTCCATCTCTGCTGATCATCCACACCAATCACGCCACAGACAAGAAAATGCTGGGGCTTAAAAATCCTCAGACTCTACATCCAATTCAGGCCCTGGGATCTTC